AAATTTCGGAATATTTGAGGATGTTTTATAGCTTCTTAGATTCAAAGTAGAAATAATGGATCTAACCGATAGATATTGTTTGTTATCGTATGACGAAATGATAATTTGTGGACAAATCGATTATGATAAAAGCAATGGTAAATTCCAAGGATTTGTTACTTTAGGAGGTATTAGCGATGTTCTTGGTACAAAAATATTTTTAGTTTTACTTCGAGGAGTAAAAAATCCATGGAAACAAGTCATTGCATGCCACATAACACCTAAAGAATCAATTGATATACGAAGGCTGCTCCGTAAGTTTTGCGACTAGTAAGGAAAACACGGTAATTTGTCATTGAAAATGTCTTTATTGTTTTTCAAAATATTCTCCATGATGATCAATACACTTCTACATTCGCTTAAACCATTTATTATAGCATCCATGCCACTCCGAAAGTGGAACCTCCAAAACATGTTTTAAACGCATCAACCGCTTCTTCTGGCGTCGAAAATCGTTGACTACGCAGTTTATTCTTGATGTTCGGAAACAAACAGAAGTCATTGGGTGCCAAATCAGGACTGTACGGTGGACCCATTAATTCGATGTTTTCACTGGTCAAATAGGTGGTTGTTTGAGCCGATGTGTGAGAGCTCGCATTGTCATGGTGAAGAATGATTCGTCGTCTTGAGTTGTTTTTCCTTATTTGACCGAAGTCTTCTGGCAAACAAATGGTTGTGTACCACTCAGAATTGACCGTTCTACGTTTCTATAAGGGTACTGTTGCCACATGACCAGTTTTTCCGAAAAAACAGGCGACCATTTGTTTCGAAGTGCTTCAAGCGCGAACAACTTTTGTTGAGTTAGGGTCACTTTGAAAGACCCACACAGTCGTCTGCTGTTTAGTTTCCGGCTCATATGCATAGATCCATGACTCGTCACCTGTATAAAGGTTGTATACGGCATTTGACGCACCTTGATCGAATTTCTTCAGCATTTTTTTGCACCAATTTACACGATCCTTTTTTTGAGCAATTGTCAAATTATGCGGGATCCAACGTGAACAAATTTTTTTTACGGCCAAATGTTCATGCAATATCGTTTGTATGCAATTCATATCAACACCCGGGGATGCCTGAATCTCACGGTATGTCACATCGATCTTGCATTATCAATTCACGCACAGCATCGATGTTTTCTGGCACAGCAGCTGATTTTGGACGACCTTGGCGAGATTCGTCGGTGAGCGAACTACGACCACGATTGAATTCATTAAACCAGCGACAAATAGTGGTGCTTCATTGCCAAAAGTGGAAGCAAGTTGATCGATGCACTCTTGTCTCGATAATCCACGTCGAAAGTCGTAAAAAATCATCGCACGAAAGTGTTCTCATGTTAATTCCATTTTTTCGCTGAGACACAATTTTCAAGTCACTGTAAACAATACAAGTAGCCTCCGTACGACAAAACGTTTCGAGTAAAAAAATCTTCCATATTGTCAAACTTTTTGATGGTAAGGTTAGATTTTACCTAGCAACGCCAGTGTTGCCAAGTCGCAAAACTTACGGAGCAGCCCTCGTACAAGCCTTGAAGGAATTTATTCTTCAATGTATTTCATTTATTGAAAATTGCGGTCTCCACATTCTTGCATCGTCTTCAGATTTAGATAACAGAAACAGAAGTCTGTGGAACTCTACGGATTAATATTTCTAAATATGGGACTCTTGTGAATTCTTTCATGTTTCATGAACAATTCCAGATGTTTGCCATATTTTAAAAAATTTGAAATCTGCACTTTTAAGGCAGAAAGTGTATCTCCCTATGGGTTTGTGAAACACGAAAGGCTTCCAACAAATATAGTCGATGGTACATACATTAAGTCGTTGTGGTATGACGAAGTAAATAGTGGCAAAGAAGTACGAAGATTACATCATTTACGTAAAGAAGATATTGAACCCTCTCAATTCAATAAAATGAATGTGGGTGCCGCAATCCGTTTTTTCTCTCTGAAAACATCTAGCGCATTAGAAATCGCAGTCGAGGAAAAATCATTACCGGAAGATGCGTTAACTACTGCTGCTTTTATCCGATTAATATGTGAATGGTTTTCTCTTGTATCCTCGCAAGTACAAAAAACCTCAATTACTTTAAGGAATTGCGATCAAAAGTATATTTTTCTCCATAAAATTGTAGACACATTTCGTGAAACTATTTTTGAAAAACACTGGAAGCCTTTAAACTATGCAATGGTATTGGCAACGTTATCTTTTTGTGACATCGTAGAATTATTATTTAGGAATGGATTTGATTATATATTAGGACATCGTTTTACGCAGGATGCGATGGAAAATATTTTTTCGCAAATAAGAAACAAAGAAGGACAAATGCCAACTGCGTTAAAATGCCTGCGTGTTGTAAAAACCATTAGTGTGTCCCAATTTATATCAAATGTTAAACATACAAGTTATTGTCATAATTCGGACAACTTTTTACAAGATTTTTGTAACACTAAAAAGAAGTCTGATTCCGCAAAAGCGTCTTCGACACTTCCAATTACCGTAAATAACACAAACATATTGCGTCTCGACGAAATCGAAATATCTACGTTTTCTTTTAATGAATTTATCAACACTGTTTCGGATTATGACGCAAAAAATTTATTTCATTTTGCCGGTTGTACTACGAATGCAATGATGAAGAACATTTGCAAACATTGCATAACATTTATGTTGCGCAAGAATTTACCAGAGAACGATTTTATTTGAAAAGCGAAACAGTATACCAGTGCATTAAACTGCGGTGGCCTAAAAGAGCCATGTTTAGAAACGTTTAGCATAATATTGCATTGCGATTATGTATTCAAAACTTATAGGGCTCATATCTTGAGATACGGAAAATTTACTTTTATTGAACGTCTGGTAGAAAACGTCAATATTGTTTTTCCAAATTGTTGTGATGTAAAAAAAAAATTGTGAAACATTTTTTTGATGTTCGGTCTTACTGCATCAAGAATTTTTCAGAAAGCAGTAGGAAACGGAAAAATGTTTATGGATCCGCGAGTTTGAAACTGTTAAAAGTTTAAGGGAAAGTTATGTTTCTAGTTAATAATTCTAAAGTTATAAATCATAATTTCCAAATATAAGAATGTTATGTTTTTAAATATTAATTCTAAAGTTATAAATCACAATTTTCAAATAAGAATGTTATGTTTTTAAATATTATTTCTAAAGTTATAAATCATAATTTTCAAATAAGAATGTTATGTTTTTAAATATTAATAGGAATTTTTGTTTGAAATATAAACAATTTTCCAAAATCTCTTGTTTCTACTTTTCATTTTATTTCCATATTATTGTTGAAGTTTTTCATTATGTTACAAATATTGGATAAAAAAAGAAATGTGTCATATACAATTAATATAAGTGCACACAGCATTAAGAATATCATATACATATATACAGATTGAATTATTCAACATTATATTTTTTTAGGTATGCGGTAACTGCTGAGTGATGAGCGTAGCATCTTATTATTACGTAGATTCTCTCCAACTGCTGCTTCAAAAACTGATTTTCTGCCAACATCAACAAAAGGCTCTCTTCTGTAATTGGCTCAATATTTTTTTCTGCATCTATAGAGCTCTGAAATGAATTAAAGTATACATATTTATACTATGTATTTATACATGTTTATGTGTAAATAAAAAAATAAACATATAAATATAGAATTCTTTCTTCTTACTAATGGGTCACAGAAACTTACATCTTTCTCAGTGGCTGCACTTATATTTTCATTATTTTCAGCTGTTAAATTTTCATCAGCTATTTCATTTGCAACAGATGAATTTAATACATTAAATAGCGTCGGCACGGCATTTGGCTTCAATTTTTTCCAACCATCTGCTCGATCAGTCTCAAATTGCGACTCTTCAAAATGTTTCTGAAATAAGAAAAATGCATATAAGATTAATTACAGTTATTCACATTTATGTAATTTCGAACGGCGACAAATCTAAACTACACTTAAAAAACAATCTATGAATTTAAACAAACAGAAAAAGCTGCGTAAATTGGAAATTAAGAGAGTACTTACTTCGCAAAGGAACGTTGATTTCGATGGTGTCCAAGATCCCCTGTTGACATTACGTATCCATTGCGTTCGACTAACATTATCCGCAGGAAATTGAAATAATCGAACTTTTTTCAGGTCTGTTCGAACAATTCATTGCAGCGCAGCAAGGCATTTTATAAACGGAAAAAAATTCGGACACGTAAACACGAAAAATTTCGATCAGCAAACTCTTTGCTTATCGAAATTAAAACTCGTAACTACTACTACCTACCATGCTTCCTCGGCTGACAGCTCAGTGGCGTAGCGTCAGGAGGGCAAGGAGTGAGGGAATAGCATGAAAATGGCGGACGAGAATACCTATCTTTATAGTGCCTTAGACATACTTGGAAACGTTGAAATGGGAAGTCCTACCCCACCTGCCGTATTCTCCAAACGTTGCTCCCTCTATCACTTGTTTCGATCAATGGCATACGGCTTGGCTGACCAACACTTCCGGTCTTATGAAGAAGTAAAAAATTGGATCGATTCGTGGATCGCCTCAAAAGATGACCAGTTTTTTCGACGCGGGATTATACGCTGCCCGAAAGATGGGAGAAAGTAGTGGCCAGCGATGGACAATACTTTGAATCATAAATGTATAACCAGTTTTTTACAATAAAGCCTCGAATTTCGGAAAAAAAACGGCGGGAGCAAAGTTGTACACCTAATATAATATATATAGTCAAGGCAAAATTAAAAATATGTATAGTAAAGATAAAAATTTGTTTTCTTTAAAGAACGATATGTTTTCTGAATTTTATCAACTCAATCTACCACAATAATAAATCACATTATAAACATATTTGAATTGTAATATATCAATCATTTATAATATGCCATATATTTATCATTGTGATAAATATAAATAAATAACAAATTAAAATAATTAATTTATATTATTATGTATAAAATTATAAACCATCTCCGCAACAAAAACTTAAAGAGTATAAAGTGTATAAAAATTAAGAATAAACTTTATTTTTTATTTTAAGAACTAACCTATTTGCAACATGTACCACAAGACTTTCCAAAGTGTTACAACTAGTTGCCAGAATAATAATTATTTAAATTGGTTCTACGACAAAGATAAAAATTTGTCTTTTTTAAAAGATATTTTAAAGATATGTTTTCTGAATTTCAGCAACTCCATCTACCACAATGATAAATCACATCATAAACATATTTGAAATGTGATATACCGATCATTTATAATATGCCATATATTATTATTACGATAAATATAAATAAATAAAAAATTAAAATAATTAATTTATATTATTATATATAAAATTACAGGCCATCGCCGCAACAAAAATTTAAAGACTAAATAGTTGCTTTATATATAACCGACTAGTTAGGTTAACATATGTAGCGCTAAAAGTTAATATAAAAAAATGAAGTTTATTCTTGACACAGTGTGTGAACTAAAATGAGAATGAAAGAATCACCAACTTGCAATATAACTTAAAGATATAACTTAGAGATAAGAGAATAATGTATGTGTGTATACAGAGTTTCTCAGAATAATCGTGCTAATGCTTTTGAGAACGTAGAATAAATTGAGGTAATCAAAAAATTCCAATATCAATTTGTTATATCCATAATAAAAAGAGAAAAAAGCTTTTATCGCAAGTGTAAGCGATTTAAAAGTGAAAAACTACAACCATAATGCAAGTGCCTGGTACGGGTACTAGCAACTCCAGTTGAATATTGCATAATTTGATGGATAAAACATTTTTGAGACTAAAATGTAATTTTATCATCAGACATTGTTTTATTAACTATGTCTTATTAATAATTTTCTGATTTTCTTGTTCTATTTATTTATTTATATAGTTTTTATTTTATATAATATAAATTACATACAGGGTGTTCAAAAAGTCCCGGACCGGTGAAATATCTCGAAAACTAAGCATTTTAGAAAAAAATTTTTCAGATAAAAGTTGTAGGGTTTCAAAAGATCTATTTACTGATCTTATCAGTTTGACCTTGGATGGCGTCGCCAAGGTCAGATCGAAATCACATTAACTTTTTTAAATGGAACTGCCTACTTTTTATTGCATATTCTTGTAGCTTATCTCGAGACCTTTCCAAAACACTATAAACAAATGTATTTTCGTTAAGTATCTTCCGAGTTATGAGGCTTGAAAGTTTCATCAGATCCAACCAGTGAAGGCAAGATCAGAACAAGATCCAACCAGTGAAGGCAAGATCAGAACAAGATCCAACCAGTGAAGGCA